CAGACCTCACCAACATCTTCGAGTCGTTCCTGCCGCAGCTGCTGGCCTACCCCAACCCCATCGACCCGCTGAACGGGGACGCCGCGGCCATGTACCTGCACCGGCCCGAGGAGTACAAGCAGAAGATCAAAGGTCAGCCCTAATTAGCGCCCCTAATTGGCACCCCGGCAGTGGTGCCTGCAGCTTCTGCTGGATTTCCCTGTGAGAAGGGAGGGGTGGGAGCTGCTGGGTGGGAGTTTGGGGAGGCTCAGCTGGCCCAAAATGTGGGATCAGCTCTGCCACGGCCCCCGGGAGTGCTCCAGCCTGGAGTCGCTGCTCTGCTGAGGGGAAAACTCCAAATTTGGTTTAATTTGTGAATATCCAGCTGATTCCTCTGACAGGAGTGTGGGGACTCCCCTGCAGAGCTGCTCCGTATCCCAAAGCCCATTCCTGCTTTTTCACACCAGGGAAAACCAAAAAATTCCATCCTTTGCAGGCAAAAAATGGTTTGTCAGATACAACCTGCAGTGCCAGCACTGAGGGTGCTCCACAAGAACAGCCTAGAACCCAAAAACACCCTGGGAAAAGGCAGAGGAAGCCCTGGGCACGTCCCTTGGCATGAAGGGATGGCTGCTCCCTCGTTCCCAGGTGGTCTGGAGGGAGCTGGGAGGGCTGGGAGCACATTCCATAAATCCCAGAGCCCACTCCTCCTGCTCTCCAGGACTGCTGACAGGGTGGGATGGAGCCAAAAAAACCTGCTGTAAAAAATAACCTTGGACACGTCCAAAGTGCTCTGGGAAGGCTGGGATTCCAATCCCAAGTTTTCCCGAGGTGGCTTCTGGGGGTGCCCTGGGCTGGGAGGGACCCCGGAGCCCCCAGATCCCACCCCCGGGAATGCTGCCCTGCCCAGGGGGTTCTGGAACGTTCCGCAGGGTGGGGCAGCCACGGCTCCCCGGGGCCATCCATAATTTACCTACTCAGGTCATTTATCAGTGCTAATTACTGTGCTAATGTGGGGCATTCATCCATTCCATGGTAATCGGCATTCGTTTTATTCACAGGTCTATTTTAATACTTTATTAATTTATTACTTCATTCTATTTGGGTATTTAGATTGATAATTTATTATTTAATAAATAGGTCAGGTTTTTTGATAAAAAACCTGACACTGAGCTGTCAGTGACCTCCCCCTCAATAATGTGGGGTCATTTATCCCAGTTCATTATATAACCTTCATTAATTTTATTCACAGTTATTTTTTATATTAATTTATTACATTATTATAGTTTGATATTTAGGTTAATATTATTTCTATCTGAGGCAGCAGTTATCAATCCTATTTTAAATAATCTAGCAGATAAATGATTTATTTGATAAATATATCAGGTTTTTTTTTATAAAACCTGACACTGAGCTGTCAGTGACCTCCTCCTAAATAACGTGGGGTCATTTATCCTAACTCCTTTCATTTCCTTTCCCCCCCCAGAGTACATCCAGAAATACGCCACAGAAGAAGCCCTGAAGGAGCAGGAGGAGGGCACTGGGGACAGCTCGTCCGAGAGCTCCATGTCCGACTTCTCGGAGGACGAGGCGCAGGACATGGAGTTGTAGTGCAGCCCCGCTCTCCCCAGAGACTGATTTCCTAACCATGAGGAGCAGACTATGATGTTCATATTTAAACAAAGCAAGTTTTTTTATTACTAAACAAGGTTTTTATGAATTCTAGCATTGAGCTCTATATATATATTTATATCAGGAGTGTTTCTATATAAATATATATATATATCTAGGGGTATCTGGCACCCTGGAGGTCCTGGCTCGCTCGGGGGTTCCCTGGTCCCGAGGTGCACCAGAGCATTCCCAACATTCCATTCTGGTGGCAACTGCAGCCCTGAGCTTTTCCATCCGGCCACTTCGGTGTGCTGCCAAACAGCTGCCCTGGGAGGGAGGGAATTAACAAAAAACACCCCAAAAATCCAAATAAAAGGTAGAAAAAAACAAGAATAAAAGAGGGATTTGCTGTGGGATTGGGGGTTCCACCTGAGGTGTTGGTGTTTCCCCAAGTCTAAAACCTCGGGGCTGTAGGGATGGGAGGGGCTGGTGTTCAGGGAATAAAAAGGAGGAGTTAACTCCAAAATCCCACCCAA